TCAATTTATATATAAATATGCTCAGTTCCATCCCTTATTTGAAAGTGAAAATTTTCCTTATGCCTTAGGTGCCCTGCAAGCCATCACCCTATTCGTTTTATCATTTTTCCAAATCGTTTTAAAAAGTTCTCTCCTCTCACTTAATTTGCTTCTTTCCTCACCCCTGCAAACTGGAATATTGTTTCTATCCACACTGCTTTTCTGAAACTGTTCTCAGGAGGACTAACGAACAATCTCTTAACTGTCAAATTCAGAGGACACGTTTTTCATTCTTCATCTTGCTCAGCCTCTTTGTGGCATTTGGAAATCCTGACTACCTAATCTATTTTGAAACTCTCTCTTCCTTTGCCTTCTGGGATACTACTTTACCTGCATCTCCTATTTGGCTGTTCACTGTTGGCCAGTTTTGGTGGTGGGTGCCCGTTCCTCCCTCTGCTCCTGAACACTGATGGTTCAAGGCTTCTGCTGGCATGACACTCTCCTCTCTTCCCTCATCTAATGTGCAGGTCGGATAACTTCATTCATTCCCATGCTCTAGCTATCACTGGTATGCTGACATACACATCTCGGCAGGCTTCCTAACATTCTGACATGGCCATTATGATTTAGCCTAAAGAACTAATCATTTTAGTTTCCACTTCTGTTATGCTGAAAACTGACAGTCTCGTCCTACACCTGGGCTTCACCCATGAACTTAATATGTTTTAGTATGGAACGCTAGCCACCCTTCCAGAAACTAATAGTTTGTATAGTCTTCAAACAGTTGCAGTTTTGAGAAACAATAGAAGAATTCCCAATTCTCTTTATGAAGCTAGCAAAGCCTGAAAAAACATTCTAATCTTAACTGGATATAAAATGAAGAACAAATACATCCCAGTCATGAATATAATTGCAAAATTCTAAATTAAATATTGGCAACTTGAATTCGGCATTCTATTACACTTAGAGCTTATTCAGAAATGTAACCAGAAAACACATGATCATGTAAGCAGATGCTCGGCATTCATGTGACCAAATCCAAAGTTCCTTCCCGAGCTCAGACTTGAAAGTCAAACAGACTTGAGTTAAAATCATAGGTTGTTCACATATAGCTATTATTCTTCTGGACAGGTGAACCTTTCTTGGACTCTAGTTTCACGATCTATAAAATAGGACTAGACTACCTCGTTCAGGTAGCATCTCATCCTTTCCTTTTCATAATACTCTTGATCCTTGAAGCTACACATTTGATGTCTGTTTTCCCCACCAGATTGAAAATATTTTCAAGACATTCATTGCTATCACAGTGTGAAGCTTCGTCTGTGTGAGTATTCATGACACGCGAGAGAATTTGCAGAGCCCCAGTACAAAGTGAAAATGGTAGGCCTCTTGTTAAAAAATAATTTAAATTAACTTGTTAAAAAATAAGAATTTCAAGATAGCCATAGCAGAGCACTAAACCAAGCAGAGGGCCCTTCTAAGTACTGGGCCTTGTGTCACTGGTAGTTCACACATCCATAAAGTCAGCCCTGTGTGGATATATTTTTACTAAGTTCAACATAATGCCTGGAAAATGAAGTTATAGAGGCTTCAGAAAATATCTGGGGGTAGAAAGATAGAATTCAGATCTCAGAGCAGAAAAAGTGGTCATATCAAGTGGTATAAAAGTAGTTCAGCTAATTAATCAAGAAAATATTTTTAGGTTGTCAACAATTGACTATTGAATATTGTAGATTGTAGCACATTAAAAAAAGACATTGGGTAATCTTCAAAAATTCACTCTTTAAGGTGACATCTTGTCTTTCATTTTTTTCTATTATGCTGCATTAATCATTCTGAGGTTGTTATCTTCCCTTTTAATATTTATTGGTTATAATTCATAAAAATCTATGTATGATTTGGGTTCCTTTTTGGCTTTTCTGCACAATTCCCTGAGTCCAAGAGTGAACACAGTAATAACTACTCCCTTTCTCTAATCATGAAGTATTGTTGTTGGGTGCTGTGAGTCATTTTTGACTCAAAACAACCCCATGTAACAGGGAAGAACTGCCCCATAGCATTTTCTAGGCTATAATCTTTATGAGAGCAGATCTCCAGGTCTTTGTCCCATGGAGCTGCTGGGTGGGCTTGAAGTGCCAACCTTCAGTTAGCAGCTGAGCACTTAACTGTTACGCCACCGGGGCTCCTTCATAAAACATTAACATTTAAAAAATTCATAGAACATTTTATCCTTGTTCATCTGTCTTATGAAAAGTAATGTTCAGTTTATCAAATATCAAGCACTGATTTGAAACTTCATTTTTGAATTTTTCATATGGTATTAATTCTATCAGAGACAGAAAAATAATAGTTGGTAGAATCACAAGGTGCTTTTTTTCATATAACTATAAAAATATTAAATGTTTTATGACTATTTTCTTCAGAGAGATACTTCATATTTGGGAACGGAATCCAGTAAATTTACATTTCCTCTCTTGCAGCTCAGAATAATTTCCCCTCATGTTTCCCAAAAGTTTGCTGATGCACAAGTGCTTATTCTGCCCTCTTTAGGGTGACTGCATCAGAGAGGAAGACGGATTTCCTCTTGAGCAAGTTATTGATGGATACTCTTATACTCTGTCCCTGAAAAGTAAAAAAAAAAAAAAAAAGAAAAGAAAAAGTGCAGGCATACTGCTGAGTGAAAGAAGCCAGTCTGAAAATCTACGTACTGTATGATTCCAACTACATGACATTCTGGAAAAGGCAAAACTATAGAGACATTAAGAGAAAAAAAACAGTGGTTGCCAGGCAGGGACTGAGGGGAAGGGAAAGAGGATAAACAGGCAGAGCACAGCACTGTTAGGGCTGTAAAACAATTCTGTATACATTGTAACACTGGACGTTACCCATTTGGCAAAACCCATAGGACCGTACATCACAAAGAGCGAACCCCACTGGAAATGACAGGCTTTAGTTAATAATAATGTGTCAATCCTCATTCCAATGTAGCACAGGAATGAAGACATTAATGATAGGAGAAATAGTGTGCTAGTGTGCGGGGCCGGGAATATGAGAACTTTTACCTTCTGCACAATTTCTTTGTAAACTCTAAATTGCTCTAAAAAATTCTATTAAAAAATTAGCTCCTTATAAGTTTGTAAGTAAAAATCCATCATATATATGTTGACATCTATATACATGTATATAAAGTTATTGTTTTATATAATGTCTGTTGTGGAAAGATTGGAAAAAAGTTTTTTAAAAAATAAATAACTGCCATATTTTTAGAAAAGCACATGCTATGAATAATTACAGACTTCATGTTGCTGTCAGGGATTTGAAATATAAATAGATAGATGATAGACAGATAGCCAACCAACCAGACAACCAACGAAGCAACCCAGCAATGTTTAGTTAGACGATTTGGTTTTAAGAATCACGCCAGCCCCATGTCTCTCCGTTTGCTCCAGTCAAATGAAAAGGCTTGGATTTTCCCAGCCCATTCTCTCTCCTGCTCTCATCTGCCCTCCTCATCCTCTTCCTCACACGCTTTCTCTTTCGCACAGGTTCTCATTCATGCATTCTCACTCAATCGTTGTCTTTCACTCTGTCTTTCAGCAATGCTTCATGAACGCTGACCACGTGCCCAAGTGGAAGTCAGCTTGCCTGAGCACGGGAAGAAAAAGGCCAGTGTGGTTGGAATACAGTGCAGAGGGCTGAGGGGGTCAGAGGGGGGCTGCGGGGCCCAGATCCTGCAGGGCACAGGGGGCACAGTGAGAAGTCACTGCAGGTAGGAAGAGTAAATCAGGTATTCTGTAGCTCAGAGGAGAATGGGGGTGGGGTGGGGTCAAGAACAAAAGCTGGACTATCCCCAGGAAGGGAGGTGGTAATGGTTTCCCCTAGGTGACTGCAACAGAAAGGGACAGAGTGGGCAGACTGGATTCCCGGTTTCCTGTGGTGGGAGAGCCAGCAGGACTCACCAATGGATAGGATGTGGCAAGTGAGACGCAACGGGGACACCAAGATTGCCGTTTCAGGCTTGAGCAACTCGGCCTCAGTCTCTAGCTCACTGCAGTTTTCTTTCTTCCTCCTTTTCCTCTTTTCCAGGCCTGCGTTCCCAGCCTCACAGAACCGGGTATGCCCTTTGCCATCCCTGGTTTAATTCCCGCTCAGTTCTCGATTTTAGAAGTCACAGACTCCAGAAGCCTTTCCTGAGCCCACCACACTGGGACACGGCACACCCACACTGAAGCTGGCTCCCTCCTGTCTCTGCCATCTACATGATTGCATTGTTCCCAAGAACGCCTAACACAGGGCTTCCAAGCAGACACTCTAGAGCCATTTGCAGCGGGTTTGTAACCAGGCCCTGTTCCTAACCAGCCAAGTGAACTCTGGCAGGTTACTGAAGGAAGCTCAGTTCCCACACCTGAAAGCAGAGCTAAGGGTCTACCTTGCACAGCGTTTTGCCTGAGCTAATATATGTAAAATGTTTACTGCAATACAGGCGCAGAACAAATGCTAGATAAATGTTACTATTACTACTCCTGTTGTTAATTTACATTACCCACCTTCCTCTAAGCAGGGTGGGGTAATAGTTGCAGAATATCAGAAACCAAAGTAGGAAATACCTAGGTAATTCAGGCCTAGAAAAAATTAACACTTCAGTGACACAGGCAAAATGGGCAGTTTGGTTTATTAACTAATTCAGCTACATCAGCATGTCGGAGTTATAGTTATTTAGCTCTTACAGCCAGGCTCCCCGTGCCCTTCACTTAATCTGGGGCTTGATTCTCAGGTCCAGTGTCACCACTTACCACAGTAGGTGGGCTCACAGGATTATTTTTCCTTTAAAGTACCACTTGGGCAGGTGCATGTACAGCAGACAGTGCGAAAAGAGAATGATTTAGAAAGATTGGAGAGGTGCAGGGCGTGACGTTCTTAACCATTCTTCACTTCCTTTTTTTTTTTTTTTTTAACCAGACCTGGCATCGTACCCCACATCCGAGGCGGGAGCTCTTCCGTGGCGCCTGCTTGCAATAGCCTAGCGTGTTCCCTGCACATTTGTGGCTTCTGTGGACATATTAGCAACCGATGCTTTTAGGTTCCAGTCGCCTAGCGTTGCCAAGGCCGTTAGAGGTCATCTGGAAAAACCGTTTGCCCCAGTCGCTCTGCTTCAGAAGAGCCAGCTGCTTTCTCCTGCGGTATTTTGGAAACTCGCTCCCTCCTCTGGTCTTGGTCCAGGTGCACAAGAAGCGCTAAGGGACGACGCAGGTGCCCAAGAGAAGGAGGGTGAAGACGCCCTCCTGATGAACCCAAAGACCAAACCTGCAGACCAAGCGCAAAGCAGAAACTGAAAGTACACTGCCGGCCGATCCCACGGAAGTTATGGAAAAGGCAAAGCGCAGAGCCGGGCCGTGGTGTGTGCCGCCCCCCCTGGGATGGATGGAACAGCAGGCGCGGCGTGGGTGAGAGGAACCAGCTGCAGATCGGCCCTGCCCGGGGCGGACTCCGGGCAACTCCGCGGAAGCCCAGGGTCCTGAGAGACCATGGGCGGTGAGAGCTCGCTCCTGCTGCTGTCGAGGTCATCATGACTACGCCCGCCTCCCGCAGACCATGTTCCATGGTAAGCGCGCTCGCTCTCCCCAGCGCGCAGGTACGCGCGCCCCGCACGCCGGGCAGCTCCGGGACGTGCTGCCGGCCCCACGCCCAGGCGCGTCCGGGAACAGCCTGGCCTCGCACTTTGGACCTGACAAGAGCATTGGCTCTCTCACGCGCAGCGGTCAACTGCGCCCGAGTACTGTCGCTCAGAGCACCCGGGGCTTCAACGCCTGACAGGCGGCCAGACAGACCCCGACGCCTGTTTTCTATGTGGAGACCGAGCGCTGCAGCCTACGCGCCGCTCGGCGGTGGCAGCCTGCAGCCCGGTCGCTTGGGTAGCCCGTGCCTGTCTGTCCGTCTGTCTCGCTGCCCCCAGCCAGCGCTGTGCTTTGCCAACCCGGCGTCCAGCCCGCCCTTCCCTCGCCTCTGGTCGCGCCAGGTTACTCACAGGCGCCCCGGAATCAGCGAGCAGCGAGGCTGGTGCGGCTCCGCACTCCCAGGAGAAGTGAAAGCGGAGCTCCCACGGGACGCGCTTTTTAAACCCTACGGGGACAGTTCCCTGGAAAGCCCCGGTTTTCCCCCTCAGTGAGGCTGGGAGTTTCCCACTGGGACTGTACCTTGCTTCTTGTGCTGGGAACCCAAGTCCTCGGCTGACACTGAGGAAGGCCAGCTTCGGGTTTCTGGGGGGATTTTTCCTATATGCGCTCTGCTTGTTGGAAGCAGGATTAAACAGCCGTGATTGTAAATTCTAGAGCCTTGCTGAGATCTATTTTCTTTCAGCGGAATACGGAATTACAATGGACAAGGGCAGGGTTGAGGCCGGCTGGATTCTGTTGGCAGCCGTTTGGCCAAATGGAAAAAGCTAAAAAGTTTACTGGAAGAAAAAAGTGGGGACAAGGGTGTGAGGGGAGAGGCCCTGGGGAGGGCGCCTGGAATGTTTTACAGTAAGTACTTCCTCAAGCAGGAGAAGAGGGGGAGGGGAAGAACGAGCAGACGGCTCTGCTCTGCTGCCTCATCCGTGCGCTTTTCCCAGCTTCTCCGTTAGCGCAAAAGAACCCTTCCTCCTGTCGTGTCTGTTAAATAATCTAGAAGGAACATAGACAAGGAGGACAAGCTCACTAATTAAAAAAAAAAAAAAAAAAAAAACGGGGAGAGGAGGAGTATTGAAGACAGTGGATTATGGAAGGTTTGTAATGGATGTCCTCCAGGGGATTCAGATAGAATTAGAGATTGAGCATATTTCTCTTTCTCTTACAATGCCCGTGGTTCTCCTGCAATAACTTCTTTCTGGACTCCCAGTTCTAATGCTTGTATCAGCTCTTATGTAATGTGGAGAGGGAAAGCATGAAAAGGAAATTAAGGTGTGCATTATTAACAAGGAACTTTTATTACTTAAGTATATCTACGTTAATAATGCACCGTAAATTTCTATCAGCAAACAAAATACTAGAATTCTAAACGTCTAATAATAATGATTATCGGGGGTGGCTGTCTGCATTTTGTTCCAAGAGATTTCACTAGAAATTTGTGAATGGGTTTACAGTTTACCCTTTTATTTCGTTCCTTCTTTTGGGAGTTGAAGTAGTTGACGACCTCAGCTGTGCTATCTGCTTTAAGTAATCATATTTGAAGATGGAAACATAGAATAGTAAAAAAGAGAGAGATTAGAGAGACTACGCAGGTATAAAGGAGAATCACACATGGCACCACAGCAATGTTTAAGTATCTTAAACAGATATGGAAAAGCTTCTCTCATCGGATCAATTTACATGATGTCATATTCGTACTTGTACATGGGAGAGTTTCTTCAGGTCCATCCCGGATATATCAGCTAGTGTAACGAGAGTCAATGCTTAGTGTCTTTGTTTTATTTTATTTTTTTCTGAAATAAGAGTGTATAATACGTAGTTTCAGAGCTCAGCCGGGGAGTACTTTCCACATTCCATTTGACAACACATACACAGTTGAAGCCATATAGCTCAGTGGCTAAGAGCTCGGTTTCTGTACTCTTCAACCTGAGAGTCCTATATCTGAATCCTAGCTCTTGCTAGAAACATTATATGGGGGGGATTTCATTGTGCCCCAGATTCTCCATCTGTAAAATGTTAATAATTCATTGCACTTACCTCATGAAGAGGTTATGGAATCAAATGAAATATTGCATATGTCAACATGAATGGCTACAGAAATTTCTTTAAGTGTTTATCATGGCATTTGTGGAAAGAATTTTTAGTTCAATCTTAATACTGATTGTAGCAAATATTAGGCCTCTTCATCTGAACATAATCAAATTCATTTTTATAACCTTAAAAATTAATTTCTATGTAATATATGGTTATTTTCACTGTTTATTAGTTTAACTTTTTGTATTCATCTATGTGATTTTAACAAGTATTTGTATTAAAAGTATGAAATCCAAGTCTTACCTATTCAATTAATGTCTTCCATTCCATCCTGAATATCTTTTGATCATTTCACTTTTAATTCCCTGAAAATAGTCTCTGTAACGTGTATAATGGACAGTCAGTGTACATTCATGGGTCTTAAAGACTGATGATGGGATGGACTTGATAAACTGTAAAAACTAATTTATTTATGTTCACTCTGACCCCATAATTTAAGAAGCTGAGGATTGAATGTATTGTTTGGCTTAAATTAAAAACCAACAAGCAGTTTTAGCCGACCATTATTCTGGTTTAACCAAATTCCCTACTGAAAACAAATTCTCCAGTTTCAGTCCCCTCAGGAGATCTAAAGACAATTCCTCAAGCCCAAGCTTGCCTTGCATTATGCCTTATGGTTTGACTTCTCTGTAACCTAATGAAAAGTTCACGGGAGGAGAAGGGGTGGGTCCCTATATAGCATGAGACAAAAGCAAAAAAAAGTAGAGTCTCTTTCCCATTGTGTCAACAATGTAGAAAGGCACCCTCCAACTAGCCGCTCTCTTTGTGGTGTGTGGAGAAGACTTCAATTACAGACTAAACTGCAAGCCATTAGTGAGGGAGCCAGGCACCTGGGAGAAGTGGGTGTGAGGTGTTGTGGGTGCTTGCAGCATTGTCCCTGAGGCAACTTCACAACTAAAGAGTTCCTATACTTGGATGGCCATGTAGATTCTTAGAATTAAGGTGTTTGAGAGCTGGGAGACACATTAAGAGCTCTTTTAATCTAAAATTTTCTTGTTTTAGAAATCAGGTCAAAAGAGCTTCTGCTATTCACTTAGTCACATAGCCCATTGTTATACCAAGACAAAAATCCCAATCTCCATACTCCAAACCCTCTGTGCTTTGCACTGCCCTAGTATATCTGGGCGTGGCTGGCACCCACTAGCTGCTCCACAGGAGAAAGGTGATGTGACATTCTTCTTGCTTAATGATTTACAGCCTTGGAAACCCTATGAGGCAGTTCTACTCTGTCCTATAGGGTCGCTCTGAGTCAGAATCAACTCAACAACGCATAACAATAATAACAAGTTTATCCTGGGGCTAACGTTCTTCAACAACAGGGGTGACAAGAGACGCTTTTTCTCTCAGACAGGGCAAATTGTGTTTTAGAGTTGAGAATCTAGTTATAACACATGGCTTTGTTTAGTTATAAGACACGACTTAGTTTTTCACCAAACCATGATTTGAAAGCATTCATAAGATGCCACCCAATGAATAAGTAGGATGACGTGAATTTTGGGAGCACTAATTATTGAAGGCAGTGGTAGAATTCTTGCCTTCCCTGCAGGACATGGGTTTGATTCCCAGCCAATGCACCTCAAGCACAGCTACCACTGTCTGTCAGTGGGTGTGCTGGACAGGTTTTATCAGAGCTTCCAGACTAAGACAGACTAGGAAAGAAAGGCTTGTTGATCTACTTCTGAAAATCAGCCTGTGGAAATCTTGTGGCTGGCAATAATCCAGTCTCATGGTGCATGGGGTGGCCATGAGTTGGAGGCTGACCTAATGGCAGTTAACAATTTCTGAAAACTAGGCGAAAAGGACAGAACAACCCGTGCTCATAAAAAAATAAAACAACATCATTTATTAAAACATAAAAGTGAAACTTTGAAATAAAATTTGTATAGGGAGGAAAAAGCTCTTTCTTTCATACTAGTATTTATTTTATTATATTCTCCTTAAAACTCATTTCAAATTGTACGCCCTTTCTTTCATCGTCCACTCCTCCCAAAGTATGCCTTTAAACCCAAAATCAAACACACCCGGTGCTGTCAAGTTGATTCTGACTCATAGCCACCCTAGAGGACAGAGCAGAACTGCCCCCATATGGTTTCCAAGGAGCAGCAGGTGGATTCGAACTGTCGATCTTCTAGTTAGCAGCTGGACTCGTAACCGCTATGCCACCAGCGTTAAGATGACTGAGAACATAGTTGGGTTCGGTACAATTTATACAAGTCTGATTACAAAATCAGAACCTAGGAAATCCAGGTAGTCCCTGACTTTGGACGTATTCGAGTTAAGACAAACTGCACTTAACAACCGTCCTTTTTTTTTTTTTTCCTGTTCATTTTATCACTAGTAATATGTACCACATAAAATGTTGCAGCACGTAATTTGCTGATATTATCATTCTCATGCCAACCGTCAAAGACAAATAAAGATCGGATTTATAAAGACACTGATAATAAAAGGCAATAATAATAAAAAAATGAGGTGTTCAACTTATATCAGAACAGATTTATGACAGTTGTTGGAACAGAACTCTGTGGTAAGTCAGGGACTACCTGTAATTAGCAGTTGATTATTGTTTGAGGACCTTCAGAATGAAGGAAAAGCAGTAGAAGAGACAGAGGCTGAACTGTATCATTACATGTGACTACATGGTATCCAAAGATTATGGCCATTCCTGATCCAATTCTGGTGAGTCAGCAAACTTGGATTAGAATCCAGATACGCCGCTCTGATCTGTGTGTTACAAAAAGAATAACTTGCAAGATTATACATAGAAATAATGTGTATAAGGCACCTAACAATACCTGGCACATGGTAGATACACCATTAAAGATAACTTACCATCATTATTAATTTCCTAAGGGAATTTTCCATAGTCATGTATGTAGACACTTAGCAGCAGAGCTAGGAATAGATTCCATGTCTCACTCCTGGAGTTTTGGTTTTCTTAATATGCCAAGTGTCAGTCACATTTGAAGATGAGAGGTAGGATTTATCTTTGTTCCCATATCCGCTACCTGGTCTACTTTATTTGTAAAAATGTGGGTCACTAATAGCACTTAATAGACGGGGAATTGCTACTGACTTTTTTATAAGACAGGTGATATAACAGATGAAAATGTTACTGGGAACTTTATAATATACTTGGAGTCCTTGGGTGGTGCAAACATTTAAGCCCCGATTATCAGCCAAAAGGTTGACTGTTTCAACCTACCCAGCGGCACCTTGGAAGACAGATCTCCACACGTGGGGTCACCATGAGTTGGAATCGACTCGTCCACAAATAACAACAAAAACAACAATGATACACTTAAATCTCTAGGCCGTGGGCATAATATTAGATCCTTGGGTTTGAAGGAGTGTGGTTTGTACTCTTAATCACAGAAGAAAAACCAAACCATTACCATCGAGTAGATGTCAACTCATAGCAACCCTGCAGGACAGAGTAGAACTGCCCTGTAGAGTTTCCAAGGCTGTCAGTTTTTTTCCTCCTACTTAATTTTTTAATTTTTTTAAATTGTATTTTAGATGAGGGTTTACAGAGCAAATTAGTTTCTCATTTAATAATACACATATTGTTTTGTGACATTGGTTGCCATCCCCACAACATGTCAACACTCTTCCTTTCTCAACCTTGGGTTCCCCATTACCAGCTTTCCTGTCCCCTCCTGTCTTCTTGTCCTTGCCACTGGGCTGGTGTGTCCCTTTAGTCTCATTTTGTTTTATGGGCCTGTCTAATTTTTGGCTGAAGGGTGACCCTCAGGAGTGACTTCATTACTGAGCTAAAAGGGTGTCCAGGGGCCATACTCTCGAGGTTTCTCCAGTCTCTGTCAGACCAGAAAGTCTGGTCTTTTCTTGTGAATTAGAATTGTGATCTACATTTTTCTCCAGCTCCGTCTAGGACCTTCTGTTGTGATCCCTGTCAGAGAAGTCGGTGGTGACAGTCGGGCAGCATCTAGTTGCTCAGTCTGGTGGAGGCTGTGGTAGTTGTGGTCTGTTAGTCCTTTGGACTAATCTTTCCCTTGTGTCTTTGGTTTTCTTCATTCTTCCTTGCTCCCAACAGGGTGAGACCAGTGGAGTATCTTAGATGACCGCTCACAAACTTTCAAGACCCAAGACACTACTCACCAAAGTAGGATGTAGAACATTTTCTTTATAAACTATGTTATGCCAGTTAAGCTACATGTTCCCCTGAGACCATGGTCCCCACAGCCCTAGGCCCAGCAATTCGGTCCCTCAGGGAGTTTGGATGTATCTATGGAGCTTCCGTGACCTTACCTTGGTCAAGTTGTGCTCGCTTCCTCAGTATTGTGTATTGTATACCATAGTTACCACTTATCTATTGTCTATTTAGTGTTTTTCCCTCCCCACCCCCCTCTTCCTCGTAACCATCAAAGATTGTTTCTTTTCATGTATAAACCTTTTCTTGAGTTTTTATAATAGTGGTCCCATACAATATTTGTCCTTTTGTATTGACTGAATTCACTCAGTATAATGCCTTCCAGATTCATCCATGTTGTGAGAAGTTTCACAGATTCATCATGGTTCTTTATCGTTGCATAGTATTCCATTGTGTGTATGTACCATAGTTTGTTTATCCATTCATCTGTTGATGGGCACTTAGGTTGTTTCTATCTTTTTGCTACTGTGAATAACGCTGCAATGAATGTGGGTGTGTGTATGTCTATTCGTGTGATAGCTCTTATTTCTCTAGGATATATTCCTAGGAGTGGGATTGCTGGATCATCTGGTATTTCTTTTTTTAGCTTTTTAAGGAAGAGCTATATCGTTTTCCAGAATGGTTGTACCATTTTGCATTCTCACCAGCAGTGCATACGAGTTCCATTCTCCCCGCAGCCACTCCAATATTCGTTATTTTCTGATTTTTTGATTTGTGCCAATAATGTTGGGGTGAGATGGTATCTCATTGTGGTTTTGATTTGCATTTCTCTAATGGCTATCGATCGCAAGCGTTTCCTCTTATGTCTGTTAGCTGCCCGAATGTCTTCTTCTTTGGTGAAGTGCTTGTTCATATCCTTTGCCCATTTTCTAATTGGATTATTTGTCTTTTTGTTGTAGAGATGTTGGATTTTCCTGTAGACTTTAGAGATTAGACCTTTGTTGGATTTGTCATAGCCAAAATTTTTTTTCCCAGTCTGTAGGTTCTTTTATTACTTTTTTGGTGAAGTCGTAAATCTTTACAGAGGCAAACTGCCACGTATTTCTCCCATGGAGCCTTTTCGTTAACAGCTGACCCTTAACCACTGCACCACCAGGGCACTGAGATAGGTAAAGGGATCCTGAAATATAAATGGAAGCTTTGTCACAGTTTTGGGAAGGGTAAAGAGTTTAAGGTTCATCGTTAAAGAAAGAGAATGTAATCACAATGCAGTACAATGCAGTGTTGCCTCCACGGTGGCCAGAAAGCAACTGGACACGTGGACTTTGTCAAATTTTACGTAAACACACATTTACATGCCATAGATTGTAAAATTTCAACAATGTGCAGCTTGTTTACTTGTAGTTTCTTTGGATATCTTTTCTGACAGGTATGTTCAACATGGGTTCAATAAACAACCATCATTATATCCCTGAGTCCCTGGGTGGTGCAAATGGTTAGCACACTTGGCTGCTAACTTAAAAGCTGGAGGTTTGAGTCCATACAGAGGTGCCTTGGAAGAAAAGTCTGGTGACCTGTTTTTGAAAAATCAGCCATTGAGAACGCTATGGACACAGTTCTACTCTGACACACATGGGGTTGCCATGAATTGGAATCAACTTGATGGTAACTGGTTGAGTGGATATACCTCTAGAGTGCTTTTCAGAATCAGTCTCTGCTTCATCAGACCTATTCTGCACTTCCCAGAGAATAATTTCTAAATAAAAACATGAAAGAAACCTAAACTCCAAAACAGTGTCCCACTTTGTTGTTATATAATGTTCATTTCTAGTGTTCTCCCCCGACTACTATCCAAAAAGTGAGATGTATTTTTAAAAATGTGTTAGAAATAAGTGGTCAAGCCAATTGAAACAACACAATCCAATATAATATGACATGATAACCTTAGCTTATTCTTATTTAATGTTGGATTTAGTTTCTTTTAGGTATATCTTTGGAATTCCTCCCCTGATCCTTGTTCTGTTGCCAGCAGCATCGTCTGACTGTGATATTGAAGGTAGAAAAGGCAATGAATATGAGAAGGTTCTGATGATCAGCATCAATAGATTGGTACGTGCTTGTTTTATTTTCCTTGGGATAATTTGCAATTAGAACTTTTGTTATTTAGTGCCCTTTAAAAATAATTCTCTCTTAGATCCTAAAATATCCACAGCTATCCATTTTAGTCCTATTTCTCTTCATTATCAAAATTTTGAAAGCGTAATTCATCCTCCTGCCTGCATTTCTTTACCTCTCCTTTACCGTGCTGGTCCCTATAGAAGCAGTCCATCAGGAGTGGGAAAGCAGCAGGGTACAACATGAAAATAGTGGCATGTAAAGAGATGTGTACTTATTCTATTTTATCTGACTATGTGTCTATGTGTGCCTATATATATACATACGCATATATATGTAAATATATGTTTATATGTGTGATTTACTGACTTAATTTTTTTAAGGTTTTAGAGCTATGTCACAATGGTACATGTTGATTTCAGTGATAATTCAATCAGAATAAAACCTCAAATGGCAAAGGAAAACTTTCTCAAATGTTCATAAAATGGGAGAAATTGTCTAATTTGTCCCCTTCTTCAACCCCACTGTCTCCAGCACATACTCACACTGAAGTGGCATGATACCTTGGGAAATGTAGTGTGATACCTTTTGTGGGGGGTATGGGAAATACAAGGTGATAGTGACCACTGTATCACAGACCTCTAATTTCACCCACTGACGAGGGAAAAAAAAGAAGTGCACACTGAAGGGTAATTGCCTGCATTTTACAGTTCATGCTATAGTTTTGTCTACAGTAAATGGATACTGCTAAATTAAACTTCTGGGGTCAGGATAATTACCTATTATCTGTTCAGAGAATGAACTAATATTATCAGTTCAACAACATTTATAACTTATTGTATTGTGTAAAACTCTGCCAAAAAAAAAGATACTATGGGTAATTCAGAAGAAGGAGAGCTTTATCCACCAAACTCATAGCTCATTTTTCTGCAAATGTAGAGGAGTTTAACTCATTAAGACACATAACAGCACCAACAGCAAGGATAATAATGAGATCACGTAAAATATGACTACTCTTCTTAAGGAGATTAATTCACAAAAGATGGAAGGTTACATAAACTAATTAAGTGAACGGTGCCATGATAATCTTAAAAATGTTGTCTGTAGATAGAAAGTGTTAAATTTGAAAGGAGGAGAAAGCAAATAATAAAGAATTATTTATGTCAACAAAGCTGGTAGGACAGTCACTCCGCGTGTTCTGAATGCTTTACACACGTTACTGTGCCTAAGTCTCATGTTAAATTCCTGTTAAAGATGGAGAAATTGATGCTCAAAGCGTTTGATCACTAACGACCAAAACCAAGACTTAAACTTTAAGTCAAGGTCTCTTTCACCAACCCTAACATTTCAATTTTTTAAAAACACTGAAACATAGCAAGAAACATATTAAGTACTTTTTAAGTTCTAAAAACTATGCCTATTAAAGTAGACATTTATGTGACTGTTTGTTTTTATTTCATTTTGTAAATATGTGTTGAATATCTATTAAGCGCTTGCATTATAATAGAAACAATAGGAAATAAGAGCCATCACACAAATAAATATTTGAGTTTCAAAGATTTAGAATTTACTTGGGAAGATAAGACACATAGAGAAGGAAAGTTAGGGTGATCATAATAAGACAAATATTTATAGGGTGCTTCTTATGGTCTGGAGCCCTGGTGGCCGAGTAGTTAAGCACTCAGCTGCTAACCAAAAGGCTGGCCGTTCGCATCCACCAACCGCTGCTTGGAAACCCTATGGGGGCAGCTCTAGTTTGTCCTGTAGGGTCGCCATGAGTTGGAATCGACTCAACAGCAACAGGTTTGGTTTTTGGTTTGGTGTTATGGTCTAAGTACTTTCCTTGTATTAGCTAGTTTAATCCTCATGACACACCTATGAGAGAGGTACTGTTCCTGCCTCCGTTTCACAAAGAATCTCAGGCCCAGAGTTGCCTGGTTTGTCTGTGGCAGAGCCGGGATCCAAGCCTCTTCTCTTAACCACCATACTCTCCTGCCTCCCAGCAGCAGTCTCTGTGTTCGATTATTCGTTCAGAAAATGTTTATTTGGGGCCTGTAATGTGCAAATTGCTATGGAACACCCTTTTGCATGGGGAGCGTTGGGTGGTGAGGGTGGATACAACGATAAATCAGATACTGATCCTTCTTTTTGGAAGCTTACATCCTGGCGATGGTTAAGGCTTGGTGGTGAAGAAGGCAAGTTGCAATCTGAAGAGCAGGAAGGGTGGCTGCCCCACTGTCGCTTCAAAGAAACAGACTGATTGTGAGCTAGACTTGGAGGCCAAGAGATATAAACTGTGTTCTAAGAGTAGTTGAGTAAATCAGCTTGGCCCAAGGAAAGAGATCATGTTGTGGGATTGTTGTTTTTGTTAGGTGCCCTCAAGTCTATTTCAATCTGACAGAGTAGAATTGCCATATAGGGTGTTCTAAGCTGTAATCTTTACGGGAGCAAATCAGCAGGTCTTTTTCCCATGGAGCCACTGGGTGGGTTCGAACCTCCAACCTTTCAGTTAGCAGCCAAGCACTTCACTGTTGCACCTCCAGGGCTCCTTTGTTGTGGCATGGTGTGCTGACTTCCAAACTTTTTTGATAGTGTACCTGTTCAGTAAAATTTTCTGAGTCTGCATTTCCAATATACAGTTAGTATTTATTCATATATTATAGTTCTTCCATGGTAATTTTTTATACATTAATGATGATACACACAAAAAATGAAAATTTACTGAGATGAGATAAAAACTAGACAGAGGTATAGAATTTCTAATATTTTCCTCCCATGCCACAGTAGATTGTCCATTGTGGACTGCACTTTGAAGACCACTGACATGGTGGAAGACTCAGGTGGATATATATGTTATAGCAAGATTTTGAGTCGTCTTGAATGATATGTGATAGTCTTTAGACTTTATTCTAAACGTAACCAAAAGCTATTACTGAATTGATCATAAAAGTGTCATTTAATTAAAACATGACTTTTTAAGCATTTACTATGAACAATGTGCCTTATTAAAGGAAGAGTAATAGTACTTACTCTTCTACTCTTCTAGACCTTATAATCTAAGGGGGTAAGGGATACCTACATCACTATAATAAAAAATAACAACAGTAGTAAACATTACAAAATAGATTCATACACATTATCTTATTTAAGCTTCACAACATCTCTTATTGGGTGCTTACTATGTGCCAGCACTGCTGTGAGCCCTTTCCATGTATTAATTCCTATAATCTCTACAATAACTCTATGTAGTGGGGAAACTGAGACTTGAATCATACAGCAGACAAGTGGCAGAGATGGGATTCAAACCCAAGCAGTCTGGTTCCAGAGATTGCCCTCATTATTACTTCTTTATACTGCCTTCAAAGTAGGCAAGGCAGGTAATTTTAGGACTCTATACTCCATAGTTAGCAGGCCATGTAGAAAGAGAACCTTCCTTTCCTCTGAGATAGGTAGAAAGAAGGAGTCTCATATTTACCCTGGCTTTATTTTGATTCTATGCTGTAGTTCACATCACTTCTATTTTCTTCTGCAACTCTATTCTATCTCCTTATTCCCTTATGGACCTTATCTGGTGATTGTAACAGTATCCTAAACATTTGTCCAGCTCACAGTCTCCTTCTTCTACAATTCGTCTGTCCAGGCACAATTTCAATGTTCCTGGCACTCCTCTTTCATTAGGTTATCCTCATAAGTCTCTAGCATCTCAAAGAATAGAATACCTAGTAATAGATTTAACCAAGGAGGTGAAAACTTGTACATTGAAAACTATAAAACACTGGTGAAAGAAAGTAAAAAAAGACTTAAATGGAAAGATATCCCATGTTCATGGATTGGGCTATTTAATATTGTTAAGATGTTAATGCTACCCAAAACAATCTAGAACTGATGGTCCAAAAATAAGCCCATACATCCATGGTCAAGTGATTTTCTTGTCAATGGTGCCAAGTCCATTTAATGAGGAAAGAATAGTCTCTTTAACAAAAGGTGCAGGGCAATACCGTATGCAAAAGTATGTGACACCCTTCAAGACACCATATACAAAAATTAACTCAAAATGAATCAACAACCTAAATATAAGAGCTAAAACCATAGAACTTTTAGAAGGAAACATAAGAGTAAATCTTCCTGATTTTGGATTTGGAAATGGATTCTTTGATTACACCAAAAGGATAAGTAACAAAAGAAAAATTGCATTTCATTAAAATTAAAAACTTTTGTGCTTCAAAGGATACTATCAAGGAAATGAGAAGACAGCCCACAGAATGAGAGAATATTTTTGAAAACCACATATCTGATATGAGCTTAGTCTCCAGAATATATAAAGAACCCCCACAACTCCACGATATAAGACAATTAAAAAGTGGGCAAAAGATTTGAATAGACGTTTCTCCAAAGAAAGTATACAAAAGGCTACTCAATACTTTAAAAGATGCTCAAAGTCATTAGTAATTAAGGAAATGCAAATCAAAACCATAATAAGATACCAGTTTACACCCACTAGGATGATCATAATCAAAAGGCAGACAACAGAGATGAAAAAACTAATCGTTAACTTTATATGGAAAGGAAAGAGACCCCAGATAAGTTAAGCATTATTGAAGAAGACAAAGTAGGAGGCTCACACTACCTGATCTCAGAACAGCCATGGTAGTCAAAACAGCCTGGTAATTGTGTAATGACAGACACATAGACCAATGGAACAGAATTGAGAACTCAGATGTAAATCCATGTACCTACAATCAGCTGATCTTTGACAAAGGCCCAAAGTCCATTAAATGGGAAAGACAGTCTCTTTAACAAATGGTGCTGGCAAAATTGGATGTCCATCTGTAACAAAAAATGAAACAAGATCCATATCTCACAGCATACACTAAAACAAATTCAAATTGGGTCAAAGGCCTAAATATAAAACCTAAAACTACAAAGATCATGGAAAAAAAATAGAGACAATGCTAGGACTCTAATATATGACATAAATAGGATACAAACCATAG